GCCATGGTGGGCTCAATAGGCACATAACCCCGTTGAGCTGTCCGGTCATTGCGAGCGATCAACCCAACTAAAAAAACAAGGAGACCAAAGCAGACTTGTACCAGTATTGTCGAGGTGTCTTCACATGATGGCAGATCGTTATCGTCGGCGGTTGAAGTGTGGAGACGATATGGACTCTCACATGCGGGCAAACGTGGGAGCGACTAACGCAGACTAACTCGCTACGTTGCGAATCTGCAACCTTTCTCCACAACCGGCAGTTATCAAACGATATGCCCACGATGGCACTGCACTAGTACTAGTAGCTCCATTCTCTGCCGTCCTAACTATCAATCCCAGCCGTCGCCAACATATATCTCATCCTGTTAATAAAAAAAAAAAGAGAGAGAAAGGAAAAAAAATCGCAAGAAATTGCCTAATGTAGCCGTGTCCGAGACTCCTTGCCGTAAACGCCAGTCTCGCCCTTGTCATGATATTACTTTCGTACGCCCCGCGCACTCACTTCACCCTTCTCTCCTATATTCAGTAACTTGCGGCAATCCGGACAATACCACTTGGTTGTTCGGGCGGGAATGTCGGCCATCCCAACGCATTCGAGGTGGAACCATTCCTGTTTACAATTCTGTATAGAGCGTATTAGCTTCATGGTCAATTTAAAATTTCTCTTTTTTTCTTTCTCTTTATATGTCTGTCTCTCTTCTTTTTTTTTTTTGTCTTCCTTCTTCCTAGAGTATTGATCTCTTGCAGTCCGGGGGACTTACATCAATATTGTCGCATTGAATCATGGTTCCAAAACTGACGCGATTGCACATACAATATCGCGGCTCATTCGGGTCAATTGGGTTCCCCTCATCATCCACCTCTTCCATCTCCGTCTCCAACACCTGTCCCTTCTCCCTCTTGGTCGTGCGAGCCTTCTTTTTGGGCGGGGCTTTGCGTTTGCCGACGGCGCTGCTTCCGCCGCTGTTGGTGGTGCTAACAACTCCAGGGGCGGGGCGCTTTGTCCGTTTCGCAGGTTGTTTGAACTCCGGTATTGGGGTGTTTCGAGCCGTGCTGGACCGACGAGGTCTGTCGGCCGCGAGGGAGGGCGGCTCTTGGCTGGCTGCTTTGCCTCGGGACCCAGGACGGGTCGCGATTGGAGTTTGACCACGAGACGGAGGACGCAACGAAGGGACATCTGGAGGAGAGCCATGCTGTGTTCGCTTCGCGGCTTCTCCTCGAGTCTCTCTCTTGGCGGGCTCTCGGGAGGGTGGCGCGACTGGCGTCATTGACTTTCGTCTGTCTGTGCGTGGCAACGGAACAGGAGTTTCTGCGGGCGGCTTCACAGGTATAGTGGTTGTGGTGACATTATTGCTGCTTGTTGAGTTGGGAGTTGGAGACAGTGCGGATCGAGAAGAGCTCTGTGGGGGGACTGGTATAGGAACAGGCGTTTCCGGCTGCCCTGGAGTCATTGGCTGGAGTGAAGAGCTGCCGCTGTTGTTGTTGATTCTATTGCTAGAGGTGTTGTTATTAATATGAATATGATTGTTGCTAGAATCCGCCGGCGGCGCATTGTTCTGGTTCATACCAGGATGTTGAGGTGGAGGAACGGGAGTTTCCATCTTGCTTCGCTTGGGCTGTGGTCTCGGCGGCGTTGTCTCGGTGGACTCTGATGGTTCAGTACCAGATTCGCCCTCTCTTTTACGTTTGCCGTTTGGCCGGGAAGAAGCGGCCCTGGGCTTTTCGGGGGGCTGGTTGCCTCCTTTTGTCTCCTTGGAATCCTTGGAGTTTTCAGACTTGTTCTTTTCGTTTCCCATGAAGAGTTTAGCGGCATGCGTCATCTTCCTGGCAGATTCTTCGGCCTCTTCAGCCGCTAGTTTAGCCAGGGCCTCTCTCTTGAGCTTCTTGGCTTCGTTCAACTTCATGCCTCTATTGCTCGTGGGGACTTCCTCGATCCCAATCAAGTCGGCGCTGATGGCACCGGCTGGGAGATGTTGTGCCCCAGACTCGTCGTCCACGACCAACTTTGGCACTTTGGGGTTGAATTCTTTCCCCTCATCCTCCGCCTTCTGTTTTGCGTCTCTGTACTCGTCTGGTCCACGACCGAGCGCCTTAAGCTCCCTCGCTACCATTGTCTCGCTAGGTGTCCAGGTAGCGTTCTTCTTCATCCGTTTTCGCAGCTTCGCAAGCTCATAATTGGTAAGTTGCAACCACGGGGCATCTACACTACCAATCACGGCGTTCTCAGGAGGTGGGTTCAAAAGGGCAGCAGCGTTTGCAGCAGCAGCGGCAGTCATTGCCGCCGATGAATAAGTAACAGGACGGGCCAGTCGGCTGTTTGGCTTGATCGGCTTGTTTGATATGATCTTGATTCGCGGCGGAGCCGGAGTTCTCCGTCCTGTGCCGTATATGTCGGAATCCTCATCGGTGCTGATGTCGCTGTCGTCACTGGCTGTATCATACTCGATTTCGTAAGGCGCAAGCACCTCTCCCGGAACGGTGACTTTGGGGATTCTATGATGGCGAATCTTCTGCCCATCTTCTCCAACAGCGGGCTTGGCGCGAACGGCATGAGGTGATCTGGACGCGACAGGACTCTTGGGCTCCTCTGCTGGATAATTATCCATCATGCCTTGTAATTTCGCCAGAAGCACCTTGGCTTTGTTGTAGTGGCGATTTACATTCTCAGACATCCTCACAGCTTCGTCATGCGCAAAAACTCTCGAGCTCACTGCCTGGCTCAGCTTCTCTGATATGTCGGCACGCAACTTGACTGGTGAGGGCCGGTCCTCGGCGGCGAGGCTAGGAAGCTGGCCCCATGTTGTTGTCAGTTCGTCCACCTTGACTGACGCATCGGTATATGTCTCGTCGAGCTTCCCAATCAGTGTCAGCGACCGAATCACGTCCGACGGCAGGTACTCTGTAAAGTCGAGAAAGTCCGTCACCGTGGTTTGCGCATCAGGGTCAGCACGAGGCTCGAGTGCCTTGCTGGCATTCTCCATGGCTTGACCCGATTGACCAGCTTGACCTGCGGCTGTCCGGTTTGCAGAGTTTGTGTCCTTTGGCGATGCCGCGCCTTCGACATCCCTGGCCACAGCTTGGTCTGTGCCGGCAGCGGCCATGATGCCTCCGAGGGGACCGGCAAAATAAAAGGGGGGAGCGCGTTTAATCAGCGCAGATGCCAAAGTGGCTTATCGGGTTCGGCTGGCGATGGTTGCCCCCGGGGTCTGCGCGGCCATTTGCCCTTCTCGAAGCAGTTTTGTTGAGGAACCGTGTCGCAAGCTTGCCATGCGCGCGATCCAGCCGCCGAGAGCCAGGAGTTTGAGGGGGGGAGGGTCCTAGGCGTGTTCCGTCTCCACAATGTCATCTCGTGCCTGATTTTGCGCCTTGCTGCTGTCGGCCCACACGTGCCAAGCCATCTTGACGCCTTAGTCATCAATCAAGCCACGCTCGTGTTTTCCTCTAGACAATGGATGAGCCTACAGAGAAAATCAATAACACAAACGAAGTTGAGAGTGAAAATAATAAAGCACCATTCCAACTCTGGCCCACATAATGCGGTGCAGCCGACGATATAGCCGACAAGAAATGATACGCAAGATGGAAGCCTCGGAAAATTGACCCATCTAAAGTACATACGCAATGTCTGCCGATTCGTTTGACGGGGAGATTCAGTGTTGAAGCAGAATTGGGCTCCTCATTGGCCATGTCCCCCGAGCCAGTTATCAGTGGGCCCTGTTCATAACTCGGCCAAAAAAAAAAGGCACGATGATAGACCGAGCTTACTTCGAAATCCCACCGAGCTGATTCAACGCCTCGGTTTTCTGGGGAACGCACTTATCCAGTCGCTTATTACCGAAAACGAAATGTGCATCTTTCACAATACTACCCAGATCCCCGTGTACGGTGTATCCAATATGGATTCGAAGGAATTCCCAGCTTTCCCAGAATGTACAATCTCAAGGCCCCGAGGTGCAAAGTCGCATGATTTGCCCCGTTAGAATACACACCTAGGATAAAAGTTGGCTCGTAGACCACGTCCATGCAGCTTTGAGCCTCAAAGTAGTATTGCTAGTCACTTTTCTTTGGCCTGCATAACGCTAATCCGCGTTTCTGTCATGTGTCTGTGGGCTTTGGGTTGCCCGGGACCGGCGGCCGATCTGGTTCAGCCTCATGCACTCTGTACGGAGTAACTATTCTTGTGTCCTATAATAACTCGCTCACCTCCAACCCTGGATCCCGTCCCCCTGGGTCCGACACATGATGTTTTCCACTTGGACCGAATTAGAAGCACGAAGTGGCCACTCAGCGTTTGCGAAAGGCATGTGTATTTTCCTAATATGACATGTTCAAAACCCCACCCGGCATTTACAGTCGTCCGAATTGTGCAGCCACAACGTTCTCAGATATTGGGGAAAGTGACCTCGACCGGACCTAATGAGTATAGACAAGAGGTGAAAGAACGCAAGAGACAACAAGAAGAAGAAAAAAAGTACGTCTAAGCAGGGTGGCCCCCGTCCTGCACTAGAAATCCCAATCAGGTTCCTGCTCTCTAACCACTTTCGGGCCTGCTACCTCTTCCGATTCCTCTGCTATATACGTCGACGTAGGCCCAATCAATGACAATGATCCATAGACCACAAGGCTCTTGCATTTCCTAATACGGTAGTTAGCGATAGGGCAGTCGCGTCCCCGTCAAAAGAGACATCTTGTTCAGCCTCACAAATAGCCTTTTATGGAGAGATTTCCATAGATTTCAAGATGGTTGCCTTCCAGTGTCCCAGAAACCTTTAATGAGCCAAAGCCTTTGATCTTATTACTATGGTGGCTAATTGTCAGAGCGAGGTCTTATTTTGGTCCTGCTCGGAACTCACCTCGCCACTAATACACCGTTGACCACGATGTTACCGTAAGCTCTAACCTCGCCCCTATGTTGCAAGCCGGTCAGCTCTGTATGTCACGAGGGGTGCAAATCCTGATGTGTATGGTTGTCTCAACAAACCCGGCAACTGAGGGTGTACCTACTCGCAACTGATGCTACCATTCATGGTGAGCGGACCATACGCGTCAAGACTACCGCTAATGATGATTTCTCCTTCTAGGTTGATACCACGTCCGGATTCGACATTTCCGGTGACCTCCAAAGGGCCACGGAGATCGAGAGCTTCTTCACTCTTGATGCTTGGTGACCGTTTGAAGTGTGTATAACCTAGGGAGGGGTTGGCTGTGTAATAGTCCGACATCACCACCCCAGCTTGCGTTGACTGGTGCTGAGGGTCTGGCAACTAGTTATTGAGAAAGGGTGGTTGTTGCAATCGTTTCTGAAGAGAGGGGCGGAGGAGGCGTCCCGCTTGTCTTGTGTGTGAGACTGCGGAGAATCTTTCCTCAACTCAGCCAAGTTGAGCCTCCCCCTCCCGAATCGAAGGGCAAAGCCAGATCAACTTATACCTCGATGCTTTTGCAACTGATCTCCCTAGATAGGGCAACGCTATCGAGCCACAGAAACGGATTGCCGAGGGATGTGTGGGTGAGAAGAACTGCAAGTGAGATTGAAGTAAATACAGCAAGTTGGCGTCAAAAGATGGAGAGTCTAGACAACGACAACTTTTCCTTCAACTGAATTACCATGCCTCATTGGATCAACTACTTGGCACCAGGCATAAGGCTTCTTCGAACGTAGCCGCTTTTATTTTTGCCAAGAGGTCTGAAAATAGGCACAACGCAGGCGATAGTTTCGGTAGTGAGCCGAAGTTGGTCACAAACTCTGAAGGATTCCAGCGGTTTGGGGTCCGTTTCGTTTTGCCTGAAAGCAAACGACTGGATGGAAACGGTCCAGCTGGAGATGACGGGCACCTGGAGGTTCCCAGACCATCAAAATCGACAGACAGAGCGAGCAGACGGACAATGGTGAAGGTACGATAGAGGGCCAGACTTCTGTTCAGACGCCTTGCGATAAGATCTGCAGCCCCAACCGTCTAGCGGCGAGCAATATGCCGTATGCCAAGACGAATGGACAGCCTCAACTTGTCAGGGCCAGGGACGTCTCAGGTATTATTCTGGACAGGCCTTCAGCCCTAGCCAGGAAGCGACGGGGCCAGGCGAGAAACAAGGGTTGACGCCAGTGAAGCAATAGGAATGGAGGGGAAGCAGCTGTTGGAGGATACGTCAGCCACCAGGCCAACTTTGGACGATGGAAGAAGCTTGCTGTCACCAGAGCGGTCCCTTGTCCTTGTCTCACTTCCCAGGCCCCATGTCTCCAGAGAAGGCAAACGTCGAGTCAGCGGCCACTTGACCTCTGCTGCAATCGCAGAGGACCAAGAGCTCCATCGCGCCCGCACAGACGACTGACTGCACCAACTTGGTCAATACCTTGTATGCGTCAGAGTTGGCCGGCTTGATGTCTTTGTGTCCGGTCAGTTGCATGGTTGCACGGCAGTGTCGAGAGGCTGTTTGGAACAGTGAACATTGACCGCGTGGTGCATGCATGTGCCTTTCCACGTCTGGTGCGTCCAGTCTGGATCCAACTTCCAAGGCGGCAGCTAACCCAGCTCTCCCCTCTTCCAGTGAGCTGGTGGGGGAAGGAGCAACAGACGTTGGACCAGGACGCATTGATTGGAGCAAAGCAGGGGTCGAGCTGTTGAGCCGCCTCAAGCTGCCGCCAGGAAGACGGCTTGGGGGCTGCCAACTTTAGAACACGATTTCAACACCAAGTCAGACAATCGTCTGGAAACCTCAGCCTTGCGCCCTCCGTGTCGTCTCCGCGGCCTTGCAAAGGCATCGCAAGCCGACCAGCTCTCGTGCCTTGAAACTTGGACACCAAACTGCTTGGCGCGAAAACGAACCGCGATGGGCTAATACACACGCCGCCCAGCTCCAACGGTCAACACACCGTCGACGTCATCACGACTTTTCTGTACCTGCATCATCCAAACGTTTGCCCTTGCTTACGCGCTCCAGCTCCAGCTCCAGCTCCAGCGCAAAGCCCAATCTGTAAAGACCGGCATCAAACGCTCGCCCACATAGGGCGGCCGGTTACCCATTACGGGCACATCTTACCGGCCGTGCATCCAAGTCAGACGCTTTTGTCCTGCAAAGCAATGTCAACCATTTCAAAACCCACGTGCACCTGGGTACATTGTACCAGCATTCGCGTACGTACCTCTAGTATTGCTTGCAGCACCGACAAGTTGGTACCGCGCACATGGCACGTTCAGCTGAACGGTAGAATGGGTCTTGTCTGGTATCAATGTTTCCCTGCGTTTCACTGTCAGGCGGACCTTGAATCTGCAGCTCAGCTGCTGATCCCTGTCGTGTTCTATATGTAGAACGGAGCCAGCGTTTTGATCGTGCATGTGCATGATTTTCCCCGTACTTGGGATATTCATAGAAACAAGACCATCACAAGGCAATTTTTTCAGCTTCAGTGGGCTGCCTTGGCATTGGATTGAAGAATACAAAGAGAATCGAGAATTTCCATCCTTGTCCAAGTAAGATACGCAGTAAATGGGTAGGTAATACTACAAAGTGTCAACTTTAAGCCGTCGCGGTAGGAAACCACGAATCCAAACACCATTCCAAGCCAAAATCCCACCCGTGGTATCTCAAAGAAAGTCCCATCCGCCGCCTTCGTCCCGAGACTGAATTACCCCAGGTCCCTCTTTTCTGCTCTTTCATCATCTGGTAGTAGCATTGGGCCTTTTGCCAGCTACTACTGAACTCTATATAGCGGCCAAAGGCTTGTTTTTTGCTTTTCCGAGCGTCTAGTCGCCGCCTACAAGACCCAGTCCAACGCCGGCAAACAACGCAGCTACAGCCCAAAGACTGGCATACGCAGCAGCACCAGTCGATTCAATGCCGTACATGGTCTTGGTGCAAGCGAGATAAGTGCCAACAGTTGACAAAAGCACAGCAGCCGCCGTTCGTCGAATAACGACTTTGGTTTTGGCCGTGTATCCCCAAAAGTTCCAGCAAACAGTCTGGCCAAGCGATGCGCTCACAGGATCGAACTGCTCAATCTTGGCATCTTCCTCGGCCTTGCCAGTCTTGGCAAACGGTGCAAAGATGAACGTGCTGGCTGCAAGGCCGAACAAACCGGTAACAGGAAGAACATCTGTATATGAAGCAGAGTAGGCGGGCTCGAGGCTGGGGAGGCCGCTGAAGTAAACGACGAGGATTCGAGGCATCAAGAAACGTAGTGACAGAACGAGCGTGACGGTGTAGATACCCGTAGAGAGAATGGTGGTCAGTAGCTGCATGGGAATATCTAAAACGTCGCGGTCCGCTCTCGTAGGCGACCCATAGGTTGAAGACAGAGGGCGGACTAGGTAGAATGGCAGCGCGACAGAGAGCACATCAACGGCCAATGCGGACAACGCCGTCGTAGGAGTGAGGTTGTAGAACGCCGCGAGCAAATAGAACTACACCCCGTAATCAGTGTGTCTGTCTTGGACGTGGGCAAGCTGCGAGTTTACACGTACCGTTGGACCGTGAGCCAGAATACTCGCAGCGCCTGCTTCAAGACTATCCAGCTTGCCAAACCATCCCACAGCCAACTCAAACCTGGCACCAGAGCATCAATACCACGCACGGTACGGGTGCATGTTTCCGGTTGAAAAGGGTGAACTCACATTCTCCATCCCGCCACGAGTGCTACCTCTCCCCGTGTATCCTGGGTTCGGGTCAACAACTCCAGTTCCCCGTTTGACACCTGCGAGATAATCATGCGACCAAGGCTAGATAAGGCAAAGTTCAGCGCGAGGATCAAGGGGAACTGCATCGCAAAGGGAAGCTTGCCCTCCGTGGACTCGACGGCCCCGGCTGCGGCGTCCTCCTCCTCCTCCTCCTCCTCTGCAATCACAGCAGCATTCGCTTCCGCAGCTTTCTCTTCCGTTTTGCTAGTCGGAGTCGCATCCGGCTTTGTGCTTCGCCTAGTTGGCGCCATGGTTTCGGAGTACCTCGAATTGCCACCCAGCAAGGCTGGTAATACCTTCCTGCACAGACGTGTCCGGGAGAACACGCGTCAACACCTTGGGAGAGAAAAAAAAAAAGGAGCGTAATGGTCGGCAAAGTAGTTCGAGAAGATCAGCCTGCAATGACGAAACTACTGCGTGCGCGTTGCGACCCGGCACCAGACTTTGTGCTTCAATCGGGTTCAGTTTTCGCGGGGAAAAAGCAAGCTGGCTGAACACCAGCGGGGATGAGTGAGTGACATCAGGTCGCTAGGACAACGTCTTTGACACTGGAGCTCTGGCGGAAGAGCACGGCCAGTAGTCGTCGCCGCCACAGCTCCAGCTGTCTCCACAAACAGGCAGGGTTTGGAGCTCTCAATTTTTTCCTCCTTCCTCTTCAACATTCAACGCTCGCTAACCTCAGTTTCAATTTTCTTCTTTTTCATTTTTCTGTAGGGCCATCAAACGACAGCTCGAGGAAATTATTTCCAACCCTACATGGTGAATAAACTTCAATTGCTTGTCAATTCCTTTCAATTGTGCCAAGTTAAAATTCGTTCACTTTACCGTGCGGGCTATCATGAATCGTGACGGGTCTGTTTTGAAACCTCTGTGCTTGCCAACCACGCCAGCTTCAACGACCAAGGTGGGCAATTCGACACCTGCTCATCCTATCTCGACAGCTCGGCATACCCCAGTGTGCGCCGCTCAAGGTACACGCCATCGTTTTTGCTAGGTAATTTCACATGAACAATTCATTTCATTTGGTATTTATTCGGGTGTACGCTCGACGCCTATCAGAACCCTCACTTTAACCTCGTGGAGATGCAATCTCGTCTGCAAACAAGCGACGGCCCAAAATGACCGTGTGCAGAAAGGCCCTCCACTCTTCGGTGCTGAAGATTGACGGCGGAGCTGAACCACCTCATACAGGTTGAGTATATCATGATACATATGAGACACCACGCCAGTCCTTCCATGTCAAGCCAAAAATCCAACTCCACAGCCATGGAACCCGGAGGCTCTTGCAAAACTAAAAATCATTGTATCCAAAGAGCAACAACATGGTGCTTCATTACAGCTTACTCCTCCATGCGACCGAAAACGCCATCGTCATCTTCGTCACTCCGAGCACGCGACTGCATGTCGAAGTCATCATCACTGTCTTCCATCTTGACATCTTCACCCCCGCGTCGCATCTCGCCTCGAGTAAAGCTCTCTGGCTGACGCTGGGGAAAACTGTTGATGAATCCCGCACTCGAAAACGAAGCAGCCTGGTCAAGGTACTGGGCTGG